TATAAATAGAAAAAATAACAAGTAATTAATTTCAATTACTATTATTTTGATATATAAAAGTGGCATTCATATTTTACTCTTTATTTTTCAATAAGGCTTGACAAGCCTCAATGAGGTGCTTTGGTATATGACAGGTATACGATCAATATTCATTCATTTCACATCTATAATATTTATTTTTCAAAATACTGACTTTATCTATTTTTATTTGTTTTTTTCATAGTTATCCACTTCTAGTGGTGAGATGTAATATTATGGTTATTACGATTATAATGATAATTATTTTGACCATATCCATGACTATGACCACATCTTCTTCTATGTTTAAAATTATTATAAATTGTCACATTCACTTCACGGAATGGGTAGATCCAATTGGATGAGATTTATTCTTTTTTATTTTATTTAGCCATTAACAAGTATAAAATCGATCTAAGATATTTTTTAAATTCTTTTTCTCGATATGCTACTACATGAGCATATCCAAGATATAAAAAAGTAGAGAATATTTTTTCAAAATCAAGCACTCATAATCAATAATTCTTATTCAAAATATCAAGAGTCACCAAATCAAGTTTATGAGGTTTGATATGATAAAAATTATATAATAAAATATATAATAATAATATTAAAAAATAAGAACAGATATAGTAATAAAATTAAAGCTTTTCAAATAACATATAGTAGATCATTAGTGGATCATTTAAGTTTTTCAAATATATATTTCATGTATCAATAGATTTAAAGTATACGAATAAATTAGATACATACCTCTTAATGATCTAAATAATTTAGATCTTTTGGTAGAGCACTTGTGTAGAAGAAATCCAATTGTTGAAATAATTGATTAAGTCTTTTGATAGATACATACCTCATGGTCTATTGTCTCGATTAGTTAGAGCTTCATGCCGATAACGTGTTATAAAATAAATAGAAATAATAAGAGAATTGAAGAAAAGGATGATAAAAAACATGAAATCACTATAATTTAAATATAAGTGATAAGAACTTTAAAGTTTCTCGTATTCTATCTAGGAAACTTGTACACCAACTAATGAACAATCAAGCCTATTTATAGGCTTCAAAATCGAGGAGAGAATTGAAAGGGATTATGAATAATCAATTGCATCACCCTTTCAATTTCTCATATTAAATGATGAATTGAATCATATTAAGAATTATGAGTAGTGGGGATATGAAAAATGGATGAACATGATGATGGACATTCATTATTTCATACTACATTTTTATTTTTTTGTTTTTATTCACCTCTTTTTATAAAACAAAACTACATTTAATTTTTAGTTTCATTCTCATTTCATTTCTCTTAACTAAACACTTATAAAATAAGAATAAAACTTTTATTTTTAGTTCCGTCATTGAATTTCTTATTATCAAACAACAATCAAAATATTCGGATGAAAGAAGAGGATTTCAATTTGTTTCAATATCATTGACAAACCTATGAGTCTATATTTGCAAAAGACTTATCAAAGACCGAGGCTAAAAATTAAATACCTCATATTACCCACCATAATTATTCGAAGTTTAATTAATTAATTTATTTAATATAAAAGACATGGGTTTTAAAGATCTATTGAGAAAATAGGTGTAAAGATGCCAACCGAGTTATAAAGTCATCAACACAATTGCTTAGAGTTTGAGGCTTGCCGCTTAACAATAAGGATCATTATAGAACATGAGTTAAAATATAAAAGCTAAGACCACCCATTGTCCGTTGATATTTTTTATGGATCTAATGGCATGATTTACTTCAAAATTATTGGAATTGTGGTAAAATAAAGTTTATTTTATTAATTTGAGCTATTTAGACCAAAGTATCAATTTTTAGATAAATTTTATTATTCTCTCGTTATGTCTCATGGTCAAAAAATTAACCATTAACCAAAAACCTTAAAACGACATTATTTTAAGTATTTAATTTTTTTAAAAAAATTAATAATTTATTTTTTATGATATGAATCAATTACACATAATTAATGAGTTAATCACAATTTTAGTTTATCAAATTGTCATTTTTTATAATCAAATATATCTTCTTTGATATTTAATATTTATGTAATTCAAATTGTAAATTTGTTTTTTCAATTAACTCGTCTTCGTCGAGTTTCTATTAATGTTTTCTATTGTTTGCATACGTGGTCCATTTATAGGACTCATTTTTCATACGAGTAATGACCAAGCATACATCCTACGCGTTGTCGCGGGATGGGTTATACAACATTCTTATATATTTATTCATATAAAATCTAAAATTTAAAAATAATTATTTAATAGTATCATGAAAAAAAATTAAAAAAAAAGAACTAAAACATGTATTTCATAATTTGCAACAAGGTTAGCTAAATGAAAAAAGTCTACAAATTTGAGTAATACAATGTTGTTAATTAGATATTGTTTAATATAATTAAAATATGTATAATAACCGATAATTAAAATAATAATATGATAGTATTTTGAATTTTAGATGATTAATTTTTACTATATATTATTCATTTGTAATTTATTAATAAGACAAAAAAAAAACCCAAAGCAAAAAGATAAAAAACCTTTGTCAAATCGAGAATTTGGAAAAAAAATAAAGATAAAAATTACACACGATAAAAATTAACTGATCAAAACAAAAAAAAATCAAAATAAATAGATAAAACTTTCACTAAAAGGAAAAAAAGAAAAGAAAAAACAATAAGACGAAAAAAAATTCATTATGCATAAGGCGAGAACAAAAGTAAAACATTATAGAATTTTAATGACCAAAATAAAAAAATTTATAAACTAAGGATCAAAATAAAAAATATTTTTTACTAAAACAAAACTTAGAATAGTGAAACCGTATTTAATTTTAGTGTAGAATGAATAATAATCAAATATAATAAAAATTTAATAATCAAAATAAATGAAAGATGACAAAACAAAAACCAAATTATAACAAAAAGTTTTACTAAAAGTAAAAAATAGTTTATTGCAGTGGAAAAAATCAAATATAATAAAAGTTTAATGATCAAAATAAAAAATAATTACAAAATAGGGACTAAAACAAATTTTTTTTTATACTAAATTTAATGGAGAAAACAAAGAAAAAAAATCATAAAACAAGAATTATAATAGAAAGAAAAGCTTCATTAAAAGCCAAAGAAACAAAAAGCTTAGGATAGTAAACTTTATTTAGTTTTATTATAGTAAGGATAAAAATTAAATATGATAAAACTTAATAACCAAAATAAAAATATATCACAAAATAGGAACAAAAAAAGAACATAAATTTTTACTAAAAGCCAAGAAAAAAATATTTATTATAAGGATAAAAATTAAATATAATAAAATTTTAATATTTATTATAAGGATAAAAATCAAATATAATAAAATTTTAATATTTATTATAGGGATAAAAATTAAATATAATAAAATTTTAATGATCAAAATAAAAAAAGATTAGAAAAAAGGGACCAAAATAAAAAGCAAATTCCCTAAAAGCTTGGAAGCCAAAGAACGAAACGAAAAAAAAAGGAGTGAACAATGATTAAACAAGTAGAATGCTACAGCTTATTTTCTGTTTTGTTATAGGGATAAAAATCAAATATAATAAAATTTTAATGATCAAAATAAAAAAAAGATTAGAAAAAAGGTACCAAAATAAAAAGCAATTTCCTTAAAAGCTTGGAAACCATCAACCGATTTTTTTTTTTAAAAAAAAGAGTGAACAATGAATAAACAATGAGAATGGTATAGTTGTTTTCTGTTTTATTATAAGAATAAAAATTAAATATAATAAAATTTTAATGACTAAAATAAAAAAAATTAGAAAAAAGGATCAAAATAAAAAATAATTTCTTTAAAAGCTTGGAATCGGAAAAAAAAAAAAAGGTGAACAATGAATGAAAAGTGAAATGCTACACTCGTTTTTCATATTTTTTTAGTTTTATTGTACTTGTAACGTAATGTGGCAGCCACTGAACATAAAAAAAAACAAAAATCAAATTTAATACAAATATTTAAATTTCTCACTCATAGGTTAAGAATAGAATATAAATATTTAATTTTTTAAAAAATAAAAAATAAATAAAATATGAATGCTATTCATGGAAAAATTTTATAATACCCAAAGAGTAATTAGTAGCATGTACAGTAATTTCTCATTGAGTACACTTTAAAGAGAAAGATAGACACATAAAAAAAGAGAAAAATTATATTCATATCTATTAAAAGTGATAAAAAGATTTACATGTACACTCAAATCTTTTTATTTTTTCTCTCGTTTTTTTTTTAGCTCTCTCTCTCCTAGATCCATCTCGGCATCCCGCTATCAAGCCTGTTCGATAACATGTTGGCACATGATGATTGACTGTTATTTTATTATTACGTGTCATTATTCAAAAAATCAGATTGTTGTGACAAGCGATAAGGAAAATTGTTCTCTCGACGATCCGGCCCATCTGGATACCTTGTAAATAGTTGTTCATGGCAGACAACTTCTCTTTTTGACTGCAGTTATTGGATTAAATTAATTACTCCTTAATAATAAAATATGCATCATAATCAGAGGAAAGATTAGGAGAAAGACAGGAGGTTTCCTGACTTTCCTCCAATCAAAGATCGGCATTTTCGATGCTGTCCACTGCCCGAAAACATAAGCTTACAGCTCAACCGTAATTAAAGAATCGAAAAATAGAAGGAAAACGTACTTTTAGTTTTCTCTATCTAGCATTTTCTCGTCCCCTCCCTTCTCCTTTATGTATGAATAAGAAAGTGAGAATATTTCAATCCAAAAAGGCTCCAAGGAACAAAATGGGCAAAAAAGCTTCAATAAAATAAAAGTTCTCTCTACTCCCTCTGCTTTAGAATCTATTCTATTCCGTGACTGCAATTATTTACTACTTTTCACTCTACAGTTTCAGTTTCCTACCCCCAATATAAACAAAACCCTAACAATTGAGCGTCTCTTTCTCTTCTGAGCAATCAAAGCTCTCCCATAACTGAACATGGACGGTTACGGGTCGGGTCAAAGTAGTGACAGAAGGCTGGAGATTGTGAGCGGGAAGGGTTTTGGATTTGGCAATAGCAATCAGATCTACGCGACTCGGCCACACTCACCCAATGTGGCAAAGATTCCGCCCCGGAGGAGTCAGAGCAGTGCTTCAAAGCCCTGGGGGGTTTGACCGATCCTGAAATGAAAAGAAAGAAAAGGATTGCGAAGTATAAGGTTTATTCGGTGGAAGGTAAAGTCAAGGCTTCTTTGAGGAGAGGGATCTGCTGGATCAAGAACAAGTGCTCTAAGATCATACATGGATACTAGTTGGAATTATTGGCGGCTTTGATTTTTACACGTTGTATGTTTAGCAGTCCTTGATAGTGATGTGGCAGGATTGTAGATGGAAACTGGTAAGCATTGGCATTGATTTGTTCTAAACCTGAGACCAGTGGATCTTTGGGATGTTTTTGGTGGGTCAAATATTTATGGGATTCTTTTAGTTGGAAATTTTCATTGATAATTGTCTCGATTGCCTTTTTTTTTCTTTTTTGGTATGCAAGGGACTTACAATATGCTAATTGAGTACTACTTGCTAGTACTAATTTCATTTGTTGATCAAAATCGTTCTACATTTTTTTATTTGAAAAATTCTGTTAAAGATTAATTTAAAGTCATGCAAAGCGCCTGAACCAGTCCTTGATTGATAACACAGGGTTCTTTTTGCTAAGCTAAAAGTGAGTGAGAGAAAAATAACAATTAGTTTATTATTATTATTATTAATTCACCTGAAATCATCATATAATAGAATTTAATCTTCTTGATGACCCAATTTATTCTTGTTCTTCTAACTCTGTATTTCAATCAAAGTATTTGGTTATGAAAAAGATTCATCATGTGTAATAAGAAAAACTCCATGGGGAAGGGAAAAACCAAACATGAAGAACAATTGAATTGCCTTCTCTATCATAAGCATTATTAACAAACAATTATACATCAATTTCAGTGTTAAAATCAATTTTGGAGTTTGGACGCCAATTGTGCCAGGCCCGTGGAAGAAGCTCGCCAACTAACGGGCCATGGCCTAAGAGCGTCAACATCAGCTGTAACTCGCCCCACAGTTAGTATTCATTCTTCGTGGTATGCCGATTGGCCTGCAGTCCTATACTAATAGGTTTTCCTTTGTCCAATAATAATATTAGCGTGTGTATTTATTCGTTTGTCTAATAAAGAAAAACGATATTTTTGCTCTGCACAAAGAAAGATATTAAAGGGTTTGCTAGTGCCGAATTTTTAGCAGACGTCATTAAAATTTTTGTATTCAAATCCAGCAATCTGGATGGAAAATAACGTTGTCAAGGTCAAAATATAAGCATTCTAGACGTTCTGTATGAAAACATCCTTGTCTAGAGTGTAGTCTTTAGAGTGTGGAGAATGTTTCATAGAAATGAAAGGAGAGTGATTTAATTTATCATATCAACAGTACCTTTTTTTCTCTTCTCAATCAGAGGCACTTAGGTTTCTGATTGGAAAATCGTGATTCTTCTTCCTCTTTTTATCATTTTTATCAAAACATTCATTCACCAAATATTCACCCAACACTCCACGAAAATAAAAAAATAAACGATGGATTTTTTCAATCGCTAAATCATCAATATCTATCGCTATTTATTCTTAGCGATGGATTCACAACAATGTACTTTTAGTAGCTAAAATAATTATAGGTAATGTGTAGAACTTCTGTCGCTAAATCGAAGTAAACACTCGTTTTTCAAATTTGGTATCTATCACAAAACCATTGCTATTCCCCTTATATGTTTCGCTAACTAGCGACATAATTGTCATCTCTAATTGTACTCACTAAAATTCCTCGCAAATTCGTTGCTATTTAGTGACCATATTTGTTTTCGTCACAAATATATTTAATTTGTTGCTAATTTGGTCGTTGATCCCTTGCTAAACGAAAGATTTCTTCTTATATAAATTATTAGTTATTTAATGTTAATGGTAGTAGCGAACAACTAAAAATAACACCTTATTAAAACACGATATATTTTTTAATAAAATTAAAATAATATAAATTGAAATCAAATAAATATATAAATACGTTAAGGTATACAAAAATGCTAAAAACCTAAAAAAAAGAAAAAGAAATCTAGTCCTCTCAATCATCATCATCTCCTACATCATCTTTTGGTTACTAAGTATTGAGAGGAACGACCGATTTTTGGATTGCAGAGGGATCAATACGAGGGACGTGAGTTTGCTTGTAGGTCCCGTAACAACCCCGTTACTATCTCCATTTGACTCTGCGAGTGTTGAATTTATCCTCCTACTCTTGGATAATAACCTCCACCCCCTTGATCCTATTTTCGTACTCGACAATAACCTTCGAATATTATCATCGGAATATCGCGAAGTGGTAGAGGAAGAATTAATGCGAGAATGAGAGTAATACTCGGGACACTTGTGATTCGAGCTTGTATACTCTCCACTTCTTCTCCTCTCCTACAATATCAAAATATATCTTTGTCATGTTGATGCTTAGAGATGATAAACGCCCTTATGTCGCTCCTTAGCAACCGCTTCTGTAATGAGTACATGAGCTTTTACATCATTGAAATAATTATAATATTAAATTATAAATATATATTTTTAGATTATATTAATAGATGTATATTTACAAAAATAAAAAATTTATCATTATTGTCTAATATCGTCTATTGACGAATGACCCATTTTTCCATTTGTGAGTGTTCGGGAACACTTCATAAGGATTTGGATTACGACCTAATTTATTATGCTGAAAAAATAAATAAAATAATATGAGATGCAATAAATATAAAAATTAATTTATAACACAATGGACAATATGATGTACCAAATGTTCAACGTGTTCAATCAAAGAGATGGACATGTTCGTATACCTGGATGGGCCAAGACTCGACATCATCCGTCTCTAATATGTGATTTTAGGGATGCTTGTTAAAATTAAGCTTGAAACTTAGGTGTGACCCAATCCCGATGCCATGCATCCTATACTTCTTAATAAACGTCGATTTGTTAGTATTTTTCTTTAGCTTATTCAATATATCGTTGTATCGCTTTTGAGCCAAACTCTCCCACGCATCCTTAATCAAGTACGTGGGTGATCACATCCCATAAAAACTACTTTTATGTAAAGAAAAAATAATAATATTAGTACATTTCTATAATAACTCGACTTAAAAATAATATTTAAGTTAAAAAAATAGAGCGACATATAAAAAACAAGACAACTCGTCGCCCCTCTAGTTTTTCTTTCTTCTTTCTCCTTCCCTCTCATGCATTTCTCTCTAGATTTTCTCTCAATTCTCTCCTTCAAATCCTAAGTTAAATCTTTGTAAAATTAGTTTATAAAAACCATAAGCAAGTAGATTTAAGTGGAACTTAGAAACTTGAAAAGATTGAAGATTATGATTAAATTGGGGATTGGAGAGCAAATTATCAAAGGTAAGAAATGTCACAATTTGATCTTTAAAGTGGAATGTTCATATGTAGTTATTGATGGTTTTGAAGTTAGATTTCATTATGTCTATTTTTTGAATAAAGAATTGAATTAGATCAATGTTTGGGTTTGGAGATCTACTCGGAATGGGGTAAATTTGATCAATTAAGAGGTCGAAGATTATGAATAGTGAAAAATCCAAAAATTGGATTTTGAATTGAAAAGAATTTGGAAAAAATAAAAAATTAAGTTATATAGATACAATTAAAGTTGAATAGAATGAGTATTGAGTAAATTAGTATGGAATTGATGATTTAATTAAAAATCGATTGCTTCAAGATTTGAATTGAATTTGAGAAAAAATGATATGTATGAAGGTTGATTGAGTTAAAGATTGATGATAAGATATAGTTAGGCAATTGTTTAGAGTTGTTAGAGAGATTATAGAGTTCAAATTAAAGTCATCATTTTGTGTCTTTTGATCTTTCATTCTTATAAATAATCTTGTATTCTCATTTCTAGAATAATTCATTTGTTTTGAATTATTCTTTGATATATAATATTGATGGTTGTTTCACAATCATATGTTGTTAGATTCTTCGAAACGTGCAACTCGATCTCAATAACTTTAATTTTGTTTGATTATCCGATTGTACTTGTGAGTGGATATTATATAACATGTTGTGTTTTTAAATTCCGTTGACATTTCTATCATGCATCATCAATTTATTCATGATTTAAAGACATTCCTTAGAACTTAGACGAGAACAAACTCTATGTGTATTTGAAATGAATTCGTATAAAAAATGATTGAAATGGATTGGTATGATTTCAAAAGTGATTTGAGTATATGTTTAAGCAAATGTTTTACTTGGTTTGATATGCGAATATGATTTTGATACTAATTTACCTTAGATTGTTATTTTGATTATTCATATAATTTTACAAGTACTTATTTGATATTGAATTGCACAATCAAATATGATTTGAGTATGCATTATTTTTGATATATTGGATTTGAATATGTATAAATCTTAGATGATTTTTAAAATATTTTTGTTACCTTGGGGAACCTAGCTACGAGGGTATAGCTTTTGAGCTCAATAATACGAGACTCCAGCTAGTAAGTGAGGTAGAGTACTAGCTCATGTGTCGGATAACATAAGAAAACCTAGTCATAGAGTGGTGTGACTTTTGGGTATTTGCATAAAATGATTCGTTATATTCACCCCAAGGATTATAAAAACCTAGATACATGGTTTGATTTGATTAAACACACACATACACCCTACTTCGTTTGATATGAGACTATGATTTTCATACTAATTTACCTTAGATTGTTATTTTGATTGTTCGTATAATTTTACAAGTGCTTATTTGATATTGAATTGCAGCATCAAATATGATTTGAGTATGCATTATTTTTGACAATTGGATTTGAATATGTAAAGCTTATACGATTTTCAAATTGTTTTCGTTACCTTAGGGAATATCGCTAAGAGGGGCATAGCCTTTGAGCTCAATGATACAAGGCTCCAACTAGCGGAATAGGTAGAGTGCTAGCTCGTGTGTCGGTCAACATACGAAAATCAAGTCACGGAGGGCGTGACCTTTGGGTGTTCGCATCCAATAATACGTTATATTCACTCAAAGGATTATAAAAATCTAGATACATAGTTTGATTTGATTATACACATAGATACACACACACACACACTTTGAGGATTTGATATGAATTGATCTTGAACTAATGAAATTAAGATGTACGATTTGATTTAATGATATGCAATTTGTTTTGGAGAAACTAGCATTGTATCTTGAGTTGGACTTTTTAGTTATCATCCTTAGTCCGTTTCCTTTCTTTAGATGTGTTATATACTATTTACTCACTAAGTTCGTTGATTTACTCACCCTTTACTATTTTAGTTTTACAAGGTTTGTGAGGGTGTCTTTTTAACTTCCACTCGACTTGTCTTAAAGTTGATACATTGATCATGCGACTCATTTAATTCTAATATCTTAGAACTTATGTTTGATTTTGTTGTATTCTTATAAGCTCTATAGTTATAGCTTATGGGTGTTGTATTCGGAATCAATCATGGATATTGATTGGAGAAATGCAAGAATAACATTGAATTATAATTTGTGTTAGGAATATAATATGATGAATATTAGCTAAGAATATTGTAGAGTGAATGATATTTGAGGTGATATTGATTTAGAGATTTAAGTTTAGATAGGTTTACTTGAGTCGATGTGGGTCTCATGATTCCCTCGATTCTCACATCAATCATGGCCTACTCCTAAGGTCGTGATAATTTCATGTTAAATTAATACTTTAAATAGAGTATAAACAAATAATTAAATTGTTATTCCAAACTCATTAAAATAGAAATCTTTCATTCTATGGAGATTGACTTCCATTTAGAGCCTCCAGGATCCATTTGCTCCTTGAATTTTACTTATTAAAGAATGGTGTTTTAGTAATGAATTTTTGTCCTCTCTCACTCGTGTAAAGATATAGTAGAACCAAATGATGGACGATCAAGCTATTGTATCTTAAAAGAAATAAATTATAGAGTGTCCGATGCACAATTATATATAAAGATTTTGCATATTGGAGAGGGTTTGAATCTCCTTAAAAAAGTGATGTATTTATGTTACATTGTCAACTAATTTCAACTATATTTTGTATCTTTTGAAAATATTACCATTTATTATAATTAATACCATCAAGATTTGCTAAACACACCAAGTTGTGTCTATGTTATATGATTTTTATTTAGTAATTTTTTAACAATAATATGTTTTTTCGAATTTAATTAATTAGACATGAACTTATAAATTTTTTTGATCAAGAATCACGTCTTTGTATTTATTTTTCTCAATCTAATTTTTAAACTTTTACAATTCAATAATTTAAGTTTTAAAATATATAATTTATCTCCTAACAGACACCAAATTCTCAATCTTGTATAATTTTCATTTTTTTTTGAATTAATACCCACTGAATATATATGCTTGCTTCAACTCTAACATTATTCTATGATTAGTATCTTATTTGTTATAATTCTAAAAAAATTTGTAGATGCAAGGTTGTCTCAAAGTCATTACCCTTAAAATCATTTTGTCCTAGCAACTTTCAACTTGACTAAGAGCCTTTTGGTTGGTCTAGGTTGTGTTTTAAGTGAGGGTTTGTAAATTTTTTCTCCTCCTCCATCTATATAGATCATTTATATTGATAAATATAGATGATGCATGCTTGGATAATGTTTACCCTAATTCAAACTTAATTAACCTAATTAATTTAAATTTTAATTAATTGATAAATTAACCTAACCAATTAACAATTAAATATAAGTAAATTAAAATCCAATCAATTAATCATAATTAACCTAATAATTATGAAAAATAACATTTTTTTTTAGGAAACAACAGAGAGAGAGAGAAAGCATACATTCGGACAAGGGGAAGAGATGAAGAGGAAGGAGAAAATTCGGGGTATTTTAGGGAGAAAATATTTTGGAATGGGTGGGGGTGTTTGGGAGTGGAGGAGCGGGGTTTTGTGGTGGTTTCGGATGGGGTCGGCAATAGCGATTGGAGGAGAAAGAGAGGAAGAAGAAGATGGAGGAAGAAGAAAGAAAAACTATGATTTAAGAATTTAGAATGAGCGACGAATGCGATTCAATTGCTAATCAACAACGGACATAAATGTCTCTCGTTAATCTATTTCTAATCCGGTGGAATTTGAATTACCAAAGTTTGCCTATTATTTTTAATATTAACGACGAAATTTTCATCGCTAATTTGCGAGAGAAATATAGCGATGGAAATATGCAATTAGAGATTGAAATTCTATCGCTAACCCATAACCCAAAAAATAGCGACCGAATCAACAGTCTGTCATTGTCTCTTGTAATTCCCTCGCTAAGCTATCTCTAAACTACCCGTGAATATTATAACAACAAATATAGAAACGGATATAAGTCCTTTGCTGAAAATCCATCGCTAATTTGTCGGTGTTCCGTAGCCGAAGTCCATAACTCGACAACATTCGCAATTCATTCACCGATCCGTCACTATTTAACGAGAGACTATGATCTATCGCTAATTTCCATCACTATTTTTCAGTTTTCTTATAGTTCAAGGATTAGAGCTAAAAGGTGAAGATGTGTCATCGAGCCTTAATATATACCAAGAACCCCTCACTCAAACCAAATAAGCATTGAGATGGGTGTGAAAAATCTGACATTTTTCTCTAGTTCTGGATAGACTCTTCTCGGCCAATTAGGGAGCATAAGTTGCTGAATTCGATAGTCCACTATTTATTGAATAATCAATTGTTTTTCAAGATTGTTGAAATAGCTTGATTTAAGGGAGGAATTATTCAGATCCAGAATTATAATGGATCCTATGTTTTTATAAGAAAATTGAATATTTCTGAAATAGCTGATAATTTCTCAAAACTTTGAAGCTCCATAATATCATGCAATTTTAGTTCTATGTATAAGAATTTTAAGTATCAAATTCTGATAAGAAGAGAACAAATACTGACCATGTCCATGTGTATAAGACAAGAACTTGTGTTCTTGCGCAATTTTGCTCTAGAACAATTTATTTTTACTGATTAAAGGAAAATCTGGACAGATGCCTACACTTCAAGCAAAATTAGCAGTTAAATGCCCTATCTTCTTCTTCATAATCAACTTATACCCAAAAATAAACGACCAATTAAAACACTAGCACAAAGCAACTTGTTTTTCTCCATTGAATAGAAATCTAAAGTACAAAAACACGACAGAAACATATATTAAAACCTGATAACTTTGTCAATAATAACCAACCCAAGGTTAATTCCTATTTTTTGCCCTTTCCCAAAGATGAAACATGCATACATGCAAATAACCAAACGAAGTTTCAACTCAATGATAGACATCATGAAGGCTCTAACTCTTATGTTGAAGCTTCATTTGGTTATAAAATTTAGCGATGAATTCCTCAGCCTTCATGTCTATCATTTCGTCCCCATATTTATCATCATAATAACTATCCTCTTCATCTTCATCGCTCTGATCATCAAGCTCTTGAAGATTTTGTGCCGATGCGTATTTGCTAGTTTGACCAGACGAGAATGATCCTATGCTTTGCGGCGCCGGTGACCAAGGTGGGGTAAAAACCTCTAATGGTTCAACAACATCCTCGTATGCCGCGGGAGGTGTATAAGCCTTTGATTGTTCAACAACCTCCGTGGATGTTAAAGGTGCCGGCGCCGGTACTGTGGCCTCAATGAGAGGTTTTGTAGTCGATTGGTTGCTGTTAATGTGCAAAGGGCGCATGGAAGACAAGAGTTTCTTCCACTTTGAGGCAACATCAGTATGGACAGATTTTGATTTGCCAGATTTTAGAGATAGCATGTACAATGCCACCTTAAGGATGTTCATGCGTGGCTTTTTCTTCGTCGTCTTTGGTACGCCATCTTGATGGCCTTTATTGTTGGTGACTGTACTGGCAATATTAACGACGGCGACTGATTTAGTTTCCATTAATTAATTGGAAAAAAGGAGAAGGAACGAACTTCTGGCCTGCCTTAATCTATGGTTTCAAGGGCTCTTCCCTGCAAAGAGCAGGGAGCCGGAGAAGTGATGAACCTTACGAAAAAAAATTATAAACATGGAAGTATGCATTTATATGTGCTTTTATGACCATGAAGAGGTTATTTATATATATAACCAAGAATGTAGGGAGGTTAATCGCGGAATATTCCGTAATGTTTGTTTGAATTGTACAATTAATATTTTTAAAAATAGTTTGATGGGTTGTATACATCTCATTCATAAATCATACATAAATGAACTTGATTTTGAAATTTAACTGAGGAAAATAAATATAAATTTCCCTAACATCGACAATCATCTCTTTTAATTAACAATGACCTGCATATATGTTGTTGGAGTTTGTGGTCCACAAGCACGTACTTATTTTTGTTAAAAAAAAAAAAACAAATAAAGATGAGATTTTGTTTTTCATAAGTTAAAAATGAGAACTTAAAGTGATTGAATTTTGAGCAATTTTTTCATAACGATTAACTATGAGTGAAACTTTGACACAACCCTGCTGCTAGACCTCAAAGAAATTACTACATTTTTCATATTCTAACAATCTTTTTGTAGTAAAATGTGATTACTGTGATATTCCTTTGGATCTTCGCTATTAAGGGCTAAAGGAATGTTGCTACTTCCTGATCTCAACCAATTTTTCTAAAAATGATTATCAATTTAAGTCCACTCCCATTTGAGGAAATGAAACCACTACCTTTCCATTAAAGGAGGAATGTTGCTATTATTGAAGTTAGAGCCCTATCTATTGATGCCGATCTTAATCAATTTGAGTAATCATTTAACAATGTATTTGAAAAAATGTAAAACGGTACGGAGAAATTTAGCATTTATAATGTACAGTAGAAATTCTTACCGCTAACCAACTTCCTTATTGCTGTCCTGTCAAAAAAAAAAAAAAAAAAAAAACCTAGTATGTTATGGACTCCTGTATGCTAATATTGAAATTTGAATTGAAGTTTCGATTCTTTCTTTTGTTTGTTTTTATTTTTATCCTCTTGCATTATTACTACCGTCCAGTTCCAGTCTTCCAGATATCAACTGGAGTTCTTAGTTGAAATGAACATGGAAATAACACATGCATAACTATCTGATCGGCAAATTTTTTTTTTTTTTTAATTCTCAAACACAAATCAGTACTCAGTTAACTTGATTGAGCAGAAAGATGCAATGAAGACTCAATCGAGTTGGCAGGGCAGGCAGAATGGTCATAAGATCCAAACTTGGAAGGTTTTTCGTTTTTTTAGGTGTAATGTAAGGCGACGTGCAGGCAGGTTTTTAGGCAAAGAAATCGGTAGGATTCTATTTATAGAAAACAAACCAATCCAACGGATCTCATTCATTTTCCACCACAAAGTTTCTCTCGGTAGGATTCTATTTCTAGAAAACAAACCAATCCAACGGATCTCATTCATTTTCCACCACAAAGTTAATTTCTCTCAGTTATTGAACTGGTCTTCTCCTTCTCTAATACCCAACAAGCGATTGCGTTTGCTTTGCATGCTCTAAAATCAACCAAAAAACAAAATCTGTATCTACAGATTTTATGACAATTAGTGCCCCTGAAACATGGGTCCATAAAATCAGTGCAGCATGCACTTATTATACTGTTGGGTATGGTCCAAATTTTATAAAACTAATACATCATATCCTACAATTACGATCGATTCCTAAAGTCATGCTTGGACCTACATAGATATATGTCGTCACAATATCATCAGATTTTTTTTTCTAGAAAAAAATCGACAATTTATCATATTGTGCAGTGTATAAATATAATTATTGACCATATGTTCTGTACTAATGAACTGAATTGGATCTAGCTTGCAAGTTGCATCTTAAAACTAAAGGGGATTACTTCATATACACAACTTTTGATTTACGTGAAGCAATGATTTATGTTCGCTTTGGTATATTGCATATGTCATGATCTTGCACGCTGATCATGATTTTCATATAAAAATTCAAATTAAGGCTAGCTAGGTAGTACGTACGAAGGAGCAAATAATATAGAACATAAAGATTTACTTTCCATACTATGTCGAGTAATAAAGATGATGTAGAACAGTTAATTAGCTAATGGCAATCAAAAGGCTTGATTTCTGTAGTGGTACCAGTTGGCAGTCGTTACGCTCACCAGCAATTATTCTGAAGTTGGTATGCATTCCCGTATTTGTATATGTTATGATTATTTATGCCTTGTTCTTTTTTTCATTTTTTAAAAGAAGCTATATATCCGTCAATATTGCTGATGATCCCTATAATTCTAGATAGCATCCTCTAAGAATATTATACGGCGCATGAAATTTACATCTGAAGGTATGGGCTCGATCGCTTGTTAATGTACAAAAAAAAACAGTTGTATGGGAAGTCGCTTTGACGATTTCTAAGATTCAATTATCTCACGATCAAGTGACAAAATTTAAATAACGAAATAAATAATGATATATATAATAATTATTTTATAATTTTATTTTTAAAAAATAAATATATTAAATTATATTCAAAACTCATAAAAAAATAATAAAAAAATAATAAAAAGTTTTTAACGTTGGTTTAATTTTTTTTTTTTTTTAATACAGCACGCACAGCACGTGAAAAGATGCATGGCACTGCAGCAAAAACTTTTGACGGTTGTTTTCACTTAAAATCAAGCTAATAACGTTGTAGAGTTGATGATTGGGTCATCTGCACATCATATGCTCATCGTGCGTTGCGCAGCAGTAGCCTCCGAAATTCACAATCATTGGACCATAATGATCAACATGCAGTCACTAGGTAGAGCCAGGCACGACAGCGTAGCCTTGAGTTTGAATTGCTAAGCACACTAATTAAAATGTCACGGCTAGCATATCAATTACTCGGTCATATATATATATATATATATAAAACAATAAATGCGCCGTTGGCATAATTTTAAAACATCTATCTAACAGAAGAACGTTGCTCAAAATAATTAATGATCTAAATCATGTTTTTCATTTGTTTATTTTGGATTCAAGGTGTCCTTTCTAAATATTTGTCAACATTTATTACCCTTAATTTCTGAGTAACGCGTTGAAAACTTCTAAGCCTCAAGGAAACACGTACGTGCAAGATTTTTATTAATATTTTCTTTTAGTTACATTAATTTAAATCAATTTCATGTCCATGTTTTATATTTTTGGTTTTAATAATAAGCCAACTCTCTTACACCTAGGTTAAATCTTTCTAGTTGGATTTTAAGCTCCCATCATTATTCAAAAGCTGTATTTATAAGTTTTTTTTTTTTTTTAAGTTATACATACATAAAAATAAATCATACTAATTTTCATACAAAATGATATATCAATTTATAATGTAATGAATTGTAAATACTTGAGATATTAAATAATTGGTTAAATTTTTTACCAACTAGGTTTATTATGATGTATAATGGGAGTTTAAAGAGCTAGAATGTGTTTATTTTAATTAATTAATTGATATATAATAGTAAATGAGATGGAATTCTAAGGCGTTGTTTGGTAATCGGGAATAGAGAGGTGGGAATTGGAATGAAAGTTTTATTCCCATGTTGTAGGCTGCTTGGTTAAAAGGAATGAAGTGGAAATGAGAATGAAGAGTGAGAATAAGAATGAAAATTTATACACAACTTCATTCCCATATAAGACGTGAGAATAAAAATAAGAAATGAGAATGAATTTTTTTTTTCAAAATAATAACATGTTTTATTTATTTATTGTCTATTAATTACTTTTACCACCACCACCATCACCACAACCACCACAAGCACCACCATCACCACCACAACCACCATTACCACCACCGCTGCCATAACTATCATCTTCACCTTTATTAATTTTACAACCATTATAGTTTCATAAAAAAAAAATTTAATCGTTATTTTTATTTATATAAAAAATCAGATTTTTAAAAATTTAAATTGCATTCCGATTCCTCATTAGTATTCCAAGTACGGTATGAGAATACAAATGCTATTTCGATTCTCGCATTCTCATTCTAGACTTTTTATTCCCGATAACGAAACCTAAGTGTATTATATGATTAAAACACATATATTGCTTATGTGCCAACGTATGTAAATTTTAACCGAGTAATATTTTTCCATTTATTAGAAATTTAACACATAATTTAGATCTCTCTTGTCACATATGCTCATAAAAAGGAAATAATTAATCATTAATTGATACCAAGTTGAAAAAAGAGTAAATATGAAAAAAATATTTAATTTAAAACTATCAATTACAATTTCTTAGCATAGCTTTATTGCAAATTGTTTTTACCTAAATCAATTGAAAGCTCATATCATAAGTTTTGATTTAAGATATGCATATCGAATATTTTTACTAAGATGTAAAATAAAAAAAAAATTAAAAAAAAAACTATTTTGTAAACTAGATCAACCCACATCAAGGTCCTACAAATTGTTCAAAAATTTATGATAGTATATGAGTTAAATTATACATTATTTGAACCCTATATATCTTTCAATGAAGTCCTTTATTTAAAAAATAAAATTAAAAAATCAAGTGAAACAACATTATTTTATTCAAAAATTGACGAGCAATCAAGAATTTAAATTACATATGCATCAAGAAAATAAATATATTATATATTTTCTAAAATTTGTATTATTATTACTTTTTATTATTTTTAGGATAGAAATTTTTTAAATTTAGTTTCAATCAATATAAAAAAAATTAAACAATGATACCAAGTTGAAAAAAAAATACTAAAAGAATTATACAAAATTTGGGTTAAGCATTGCTAATGCATACTAGATCAATTATTATTTATGTTTAAAGACCATGGAAACAATACAAATAATTATAATAACTATGACAACACACAAATGCGATTATGAAAATATAGTCGGATCACTAAACAATTGATTGTATATGAATAATCAAAAGACCAAAGTTCTTTGA